CTTGTCTGGCATTGTTGCTTGTTATGTAGCCTTTAGCTATACATATGGACTCTTATGAAATTATGTTGGCCCATTTAATTTTGGTTATACTTTCCTTTTGGGTGTTTAAGGCCATACGATTGGTCCAGATAAAACTGATTTATTTTTACTCTCAAGGTCGTTTGAGGATCTGTGCCTCAGGGGTCACATGGGCTTGGGAGGAGCCCCTGGCTCCTTTCTTTTAACAGTTCTGCCTATGTGAAGATAAATCAAAGGTTCTACTCAACCATGGCTGCCTTTCCTTGGAAGCATGGAGGAAATGATTCCTCTGTGTTGACCATCCTCTTTATAGACTGGACACTGGTTCAAGTCCATCTCATGGGGTGTTCTCGGCCACCTTGATCAAGAGGACAGGTGACCCACCACAATTACAGGACATTTTGAGAGATGGTCATAGTCCCCTGGAACTAATTGACCTAGGAGGGCAAGGAGCAAAAACTGTCCTTTATGTCCCTCTGACCAAATTATTATAAGCTTCAAAGTATGTCTGTTAAACATCCCGGTAGGCACCATCAGTCTGGTACTTTTAATTACTGTGTGCCATGTAGATAAATCTTGGGCAAAGGCAAATTGTTCTCAGATAAACCTTACCTAGACATATATTTCTTGATCTGCTATGTATACTTTGTCAGTAGGTTGTAGGAGTAATATGGTTCCCTCTGATTTTTAAAACTAGCTAGGCATTATTTATCTCTCATATTGTCTCATCTCTTTGTCATGGTTTCCCAAATTAAGGTGCCCCCATTTCCCCCCTTTCTCCCTTAATCATACCCTTCTCCTAAGGTCCTACCTCTCTTGAGCTCCTTCTTTCCCCTTATCCCCTAGGTTCCTTGTATACCCTTCCCACCCCCCTCCTTTAAAGTAACACAATTTTTATCCATATCTCCCTTATTAAGGCCTGTTTCCTACTGTTCTTCTCTTTCAGGTTCTTTCTTTTCCTTTACCTCCCTGTTTCCTTTCCATTATCCTAGTTCCTGTAGATATGTCTGGATACATACTCACTTATCAGGGTTTGGTTCTAGGATCCACATATGAGGGAGACATATTTTTTCGATTTTTTTTCTGAGTCTGTGTTACTTCACATAACATTTTCTAGTTCCATCCATTTATCTACAAATTTCATGATTTCATCTTTCTTTACTGCTGAGTAAAACTCCATCGTATAAATGAACCATATT